GATAATGATGATAATAATAATAATAATAATAATAATAATAATAATAATAAGAATAAGAATAAGAATAATAAAAATAATCATAATTGTAATTCAATTTATTTTATCGATGGTAGTCATTGTATTTTACTTGTATATTGTTATATTTTCTATAGTGAGTGTTTTGTATGTTTTTATATTTGTTTTACATTTTTTAATATAATACTGTATGTGATGACGAGCAGAAGAATTTCCCTTGTGGAACAATAAAGTTATCTTATCTTATCTTATCTTATCTTAAGGTCCACTGATTAATCTCAGATAAGATATAATACTTACTCCAAACATAGAGAAATTCTATTTTCTCTATGCTCTAAAGTAGGCCTATATGCACACCATCATGTCGGCATTAAATATGTCATCATCAGGAAGTTCAACAAAGCGTAACTTCCAGAGTCCATACATTATTAACATACAATCGGTACGTAGAAAACGAAGACCCCTATTTTTCTCTTTTATTTTTAATGATAGGCCTAATACTCTGAGGCTGTCACAAATCAAAATTACAATATTATTTGGACGCCTGTTAATATCAAGGGTCCCCCTATATGGGTGTCTACAAAACGAAGACTGAAGACCTAAAAAAAAACGATCACACCCAATTATTTCCTAATTTTTTTATTTAAAGTATTTCAAAATCATCATTAAACTATTAACAAGTACTTCGTTTATCATTTCATGGGTTTGTTATGAGGAACATCAATAAATAACTAAGGGTCTTCCTTTTATATACACTCTATATGGATGTCTACAAAAACGTGGGCCTAAAATATAAGGCCCGAAAAACGAATACCCCACTTCTCTCTTTCGTTGTACTAAAAACAAAATTATCAGACCATGACAAAATGAAAATTACGATATTATTTGGACGTCTGTTTGTGAAATTATCACTGGTCTTCGATTTTGTAAATGTTATAAATGTTGGTTTTTTTTTTTATAGACACCCCCGGCCATTTTTTCTCAATTATCTTTATGAAAATATTTCGAAATTTTACATGGGAATAACATAAAGAATATCAAGATAACCAAAGGTCTTCGTTTTATACATATCCTATATGGGTGTCTATAAAACGAAGACCTAAAACCCAAAAACTAAGATCGGCATTTTCTCTTTTTAATTTTAATTTAAATATATCAGACTATTACAAAATCAAAATTACAAGATTATTTGGACGTCTGATTGTGAAATTATCAATTATAGACACCCTAATATGGGTTTCTACAAAACCGAAGACCTGAAAAACAAGTTTTAAGCATACCAAGGCGTTATAGGGCCTATTCTCAGTAGCCTGGAATAAACCATTGTTATCTATCAAGTATGACACGAAATCCAAATCCATTTTTCCACTTTAGCTGAGTTATTGAGCTTACACGAATTGAACAATATAAAAAACTATATTAATCATGCGATTAGAAACTCAAATTAATTGTAACCATAAAAAAACTTCAAATACAACTTTTAGAGTATAATTTAGTAATATAAGCATTCTTGTTTTGTTGTTGTTGTTGTTGTTTTTTTGTTGTTTTTTTGTTTTGTTTTTTGTTTGTTTTGTTTTGTTTTATTTATTTTTTGCTTATTTGTAACACATCTTTAAAGTAATGACGTGCTATACAGCTTCAGTCGTGTATTTTGTATGACCAAGCATCATAGAGGTATGTTGCCATGGAAAAATCTGTACTGAGATTGAAACCATTGTCCTGTATCAAAAACAAATGACAAGCCCTTTCTAACAAAGATAATAATTCATTGTAAATATTTATTCGGGATGATTATTTAACAAAATCGTTAACCAGTCCAAAATATTTCCTGCTTTGAAATAAATGAAATAATCAATGAAATGAATCTAAACCAAAACAAATTCTACAAAAATAATTTGACAACAAAGTTATTTGTAAATATTGTTAATCGGGATAACTATTTAACCAAATAGTTAACCAGTCTAAAATATTTCCTGATATTTCTGTTTTACTTCCTAGTCTGAATCTGAACCAAAACAAATTCTACATGGCAATCAAAACTATTATATGTATATGTATGTATATATATATATATATATATATATATATATATATATATATAATAGTTTTTATTGCCATGTATATATATATATATAACTAACATATTAGTGCGAATAGCCTAAATTTAATGTTCTCTATAAAAAAAAATTATATTTAGTTGAAATCATGTTTTTAAGGGATTTTATTTTATAAATACTTTTATTGGTGGTATATGTTTTATTGTCGAATCTACTCGACGGACTGTAGTAAAACAAAGTCAATGGTAACTTATATTAAAAAACAAACTGATAACGTCGACAATATTATGACGATTTATATTGTACGTAATTTGACACACTATATTATCCTATTTCGCAAGTAATTGTTAGGCATAAAGCAGCATTTACTTTTACTATTTACACAACACGTTTGCGTTACGAGTTAGTAGGCCAATGTAATGTCCGAGAAACATTCCTCTATTGTATTATTGTTTGTAGACAGAGCCACTATGTACTTGACCAACGGCTTAATGATCCATCCAAAGGACGAGGTAGTATTAAGAGTAATGCCCGTATACAAATTGACACGCTCGATGGTTGATAGCTTTAAAGCAAGGTACGGGATGATGATGGTGAATATATTGGTGATTTTAATAGTGATAATGATAATGGTTGTTAAAGTGATTTTGACAATGATAGAAAGGTGGCAGTGATGCTAATTATGATGATAATTTAATTTAATAGGGTCTAGTTCAGACTACGTGGATAAACCCAGCTAGACTCACCGGGTTTACTAGGTGGCTTATCTCAAGCCGGGCTGTGTGCTCCTATAATAACTATAGGCCTGGCGCGCGGCACACGGTTTAACTTTTCAAAGCCGGGCTTTAATCGTTGCGGGGGGTCTTGCATTGACTTCGGGTAACGAAATGACCAATCAGCATTTAATTACGTACGCCGTGTTTCCTGGTTACGGTTCATTATTATGCAAATTCTCGTGGCTAAACCCGCTAGTCTGAATGCCCGGCAAAGTTAAGAAGGGCTTAACGTTGAGCCGGGCTTAACTCAAGCCTAGCTTATCTCCAAGTCTGAACGTAGCCTAACACTTATATCACTGCGAGTATTTCATCACAGCTGCATATAAATCTATATAAATAGGCCTACCTTTCTTTTATTTATTGTCAAATCTTTATTTCAATCATTAATTAGCAAATAGGCCTATTTATATGGCTGGATTTGTATATTTTGTATAAGTTTTCTATAGGCCTATGTTAATGTCACAATTTCTATTCTATGCTCCATTTTCCACTCTTCTATACATTACGGAATTCTTCAAATCCGACTTCATGCCTTGACATCTTCGTAAATGGGATCAACCTTAGTGCGCGTTTCATCTACTGCAGCAGATGTTGCGTTTGCGTCGTTCTTCGTGGTACTATAAGTGTTATCATTCACTTTGTTAAGTTCATTGTAAACTGCAGGAGTAGGCCTATTACTCAGAGCTTGGTAATGAGCGTTCTGATACTGGAGATGAAATTCTCTTTCTTTTCTTTTCTAGAAGAAAATAAACAATATTTGATTAATGTTAAAAAATGTACTTGGCCTAGTTAATTTAACAACACATAAATTATGGCAATATATTCAATTCAATTCAATATTTCATTTATTCATTAACACAAAAAAGTATTAAAAAGTGGACAAGGGACAGTTAAAAAGCTGAATGCTTGTCTAAACTTCACCTTTAACAAGGACAAGTATATTTCAAAAAGTGCATTCATCAGTCTTGTTTACTGGCATAGGCCCTATATGTTGTAAAAAAACAAAAATTATGACAATACTTACACGAATATAGTAGCACATCAGACAAGTGGGAAGGGAACCAAAAATTATTGCTGCAAATGTAGTAAAAATGAGGACCATCGTAGATATTTTGTATTGTAAATCTGGAACACCTAAGGAAAAATTGAAATGATATTCCATGTTCTCATTACATATTGCGCGAAAGACCGCCTCTTGCGACCTTTCGCAAGGATGTGAGGTATACTGGGGCGGGTGCAGATATTTATAGGAGGGGTGCAGAAAGAAAACCGGTACTCTTGTATAAATCACATAAGTTCAAATGACGTTCGGAACTGTCTTCTGTCTTGTTACCCTGCATAATTTTTTTGCTAGCTCAAAAAGCACTCCAACATGAGGTCCGGCATTAGCGTAACCATAATAATATTGATTGATAGCGTATCCTGGGAAACAAGACACCATTACCCGCTATACTAAAAACTGATGTTTTTATAGGGTAGGCATATCTTAAGAAAACAAAGAGCACATAATAATAATAATAATTTTTATTATTATATCAGATGGACAATTATTAAATATTAATTATATAATTGTTGGTACTCACAGAATCTGATAACCGATATATTTAGATTCAAACTGGTTTTTCCTTCTACATGTACCTCATTTTCTACTCTGCATTGGTAATTTCCACTATCATTAACAGATGCAACTGGAACTCGAAGGATTTTAAAATCTTCATATATTTCATATCTTGAACTATTTTGTGTGATGATGATGTTGTCTTTTAACCAAGTGACCTGTGTCGGTGTAGGTGGATTGGCATTGATACTGCAGGTTAAGGTAAACGAGTTGCCTTCATACACACTGCTATTAGATACTGTGATAACTGGCTTGTCTAGATCTAATAACAAATAAATTCATACTTCCATTAGTTGAGCTCTGAGAAAAAGGAGGGTGTTTCGTACCTGTCTCTTATACACATCTAGATGTGTATAAGAGACAGGTACTTGACCAACGGCTTAATGATCCATCCAAAGGACGAGGTAGTATTAAGGGTAATGCCCGTATACAAATTGACACGCTCGATGGTTGATAGCTTTAAAGCAAGGTACGGGATGATGATGGTGAATATATTGGTGATTTTAATAGTGATAATGATAATGGTTGTTAAAGTGATTTTGACAATGATAGAAAGGTGGCAGTGATGTTAATGATGATGATAATTTAATTTAATAGGGTCTAGTTCAGACTAGGTGGATAAACCCAGCTAGACTCACCGGGTTTATCCACCTGCCAGTCTGGTCTGAACTAGGTGGCTTATCTTAAGCCGGGCTGTGTGCTCCTATAGTAACTATAGGCCTGGCGCGGCACACGGTTTAACTTTTCAAAGCCGGGCTTTAATCGTTGCGGGGGGTCTTGCATTGACTTCGGGTAACGAAATGACCAATCAGCATTTAATTACGTACGCCGTGAGCGAACGTACGTTTCGCGAGCAATGTTTTGAAACACGTTTCCTGGTTACGGTTCATTATTATGCAAATTCTCGTGGCTAAACCCGCTAGTCTGAATGCCCGGCAAAGTTAAGAAGGGCTTAACGTTGAGCCGGGCTTAACTCAAGCCTAGCTTATCTCCAAGTCTGAACGTAGCCTAACACTTATATCACTGCGAGTATTTCATCACAACTGCATATAAATCTATATAAATAGGCCTACTTTTCTTTTATCTATTGTCAAATCTTTATTTCAATCATTAATTAGCAATTAGGCCTATTTATATGGCTGGATTTGTAGATTTTGTATAAGTTTTCTATAGGCCTATGTTAATGTCACAATTTCTATTCTATGCTCCATTTTCAACTCTTCTATACATTACGGGATTCTTCAAATCTGACTTCATGCCTTGACATCTTCGTAAATGAGATCAACCTTAGTGCGCGTTTCATCTACTGCAGCAGATGTTGCGTTTGCGTCGTTCTTCGTGGTACTATAAGCGTTATCATTCACTTTGTTAAGTTCATTGTAAACTGCAGGAGTAGGCCTATTACTCAGAGCTTGGTAATGAGCGTTCTGATACTGGAGATGAAATTCTCTTTCTTTTCTTTTCTAGAAAAAAATAAACAATATTTGATTAATGTTAAAAAATGTACTTGGCCTAGTTAATTTAACAATACATAAATTATGGCAATATATTCAATTCAATTCAATATTTCATTTATTCATTAACGCAAAAAAAGTATTAAAAAGTGGACAAGGGACAGTTAAAAAGCTAAATGCTTGTCTAAACTTCACCTTTAACAAAGGCAAGTATATTACAAAAAGTGCATTCATCAGTCTTGTTTACTGGCATAGGCCATATATGTTGTAAAAAAACAAAAATTATGACAATACTTACACGAATATAGTAGCACATCAGACAAGTGGGAAGGGAACCAAAAATTATTGCTGCAAATGTAGTAAAAATGAGGACCATCGTAGATGGAACACCTAAGGAAAAATTGAAATGACATTCCATGTTCTCATTACATATTGCGCGAAAGACCGCCTCTTGCGACCTTTCGCAAGGATGTGAGGTATACTGGGGCGGGTGCAGATATTTATAGGAGGGGTGCAGAAAGAAGACGGGTACTCTTGTATAAATCACATAAGTTCAAATGACGTTCGGAACTGTCTTCAGTCTTGTTACCCTACATAATTGTCTTGCTAGCTCAAAAAGCACTCCAACATGAGGTCCGGCATTAGCATAACCTAGAAATTCTTAATCGTTTTGGTCAATATATGTTTATCTGCTCATGTGTAGGAAATTAAACAAAATTTATAATAGTAAATTTTAGTAATATATTACGTTTTTACTTCTAATGTTCCAAGTTTTATTTAAAAATATAATCATTGTAGTTTGGCAGCTAAATTACGAATGAAATGATACCGTTAAAAAATAATAGACTTTGGTCATACATCAGAACAAACATTAAAAAACAACAATGGCCTACATAAATAAATTTAAAAAAAATTAGTGTAAAGTCATACAACAGTAATATTGATATAAAATAAAAGCATGGCTTAGATGGAATAATATATCGTAACTTAAGAAAGTTGAGGTCCTCTGAGCTTGAAGTTAAATTTATATTATTTTGGGTTAAAATATAATGAAAGTCTGAAGTATTCTGCTGGTTTCTACTGATGGTCTATTTGATCAGGATATTCTGGAACTAAAATTTGGAGATTTGCATAGTTGGTGAGCGAATTCTAAACCTAGATTTGTTTCGTCTACTATTTTTAGGTTAGAGCACTATTATAATATTGTGAGGGTTGTCAAGTATGATTCTGATCTGTATGCTCTCTAACAGCGCCACATGTTTACAATTTTATGCCAGCATTCCATGCTGTGGAACGCATATTCAATAAGACATCTGATATATTCTTTATAAATTGTCAACATTACATAATATAATGGTAGTTCTTGAGTATTTTTAGAACATAAAATGATGGTCAATCATGAATTATTATTAAACAATCACACTATCTTTAAATTTTTTATTGGGTCTCTAATTATTACAGTAATGGCATTTTATAATTGTTAAGTCACTATCGTTATTATTTGTAAAACTGTCCTATTAACATACAGTATTTGTCAGTATTGGATATCTGCAGTTCTGTGGAAGTTCTCGTTAGACCATTTCTTGTGAAGCAAATAACGCTTGCATTTCTACATGTAGTTTTATCCATCTTAAAACTTGCTGAAAATTCTCCTTCCGAAACTAATTCTCCATTATAGAATTGTTCGTCAACTAAGGCATGAATCGCCGTTTATTGTTGACTATTTGATTGGCTACTAATTACTGTAATTTAATTAGTGCGGTCTGCTAGTAACTAATTCAATTCCTTCAGTCTGTTGCATTACACTTTTTTTAAAATAAGAACCAGTAAAACTTTTCCCAGGCTCAGTGTTCTTTTTTTTGGGGGGGGGGGGCGATTTCAGGCTCAAGATGTTCTTAATTTGTTTTTATTTTACACACTTTTCAAACAAAGCAAAAATGGGCCCTGAAAAAATGCCCTGGAAAATTTGCCCCAGAAAAAAGGCCTGGTAAAAATTGCCCCAAATGACAGTACACCTGATTATAGGGGGTATAGTATTACATAGTCACACCTACATTACTGCACATAAGGTACAGATATATTTTTTTGGTTTTTCAAAAACCTCATTTGACATCTTACCTCAGCCTCAATTTGTTCTTATTTTGTTCTTAATTTTTAAGCAATTTCAGCCTCAGTGTTCTTATAAAATGTGTTCTTATATAAAAAAAAAGTGTATAGGCCCCTATTAGTAGTAGTAGATAAATAATTTATCCTTTTTAGCGGAGCACTACAACTTTTAATTAATGTTGCATACTTTCATTTTCCACCATTATGTGTAAAGTTTAAACCAATAAATTAGGTCATTCAAATGTTTTACACACAGAAAATAAAATCTTCAAAATTGAAAACAAAATAAAAGTACAGTAAATTGATTGATTGATTTACTGACTGACTAATTATATATAATAATATTGATTGTTAGCGTATCCTGGGAAACAAGACACCATTACCCGCTATACTAAAAACTGATGTTTTTAAAGGGTAGGCCTAAGAAAACAAAGAGCACATAATAATAATAATTATTATTATTATATCAGATGGACAATTATTAAATATAAATTATGTAATTGTTGGTAGGCCTACTCACAGAATTTGATAACCGATATATTTAGATTGAAGCTGGTTTTTCCTTCTACTCTGCATTGGTAATTTCCACTTTCATTAACAGATGCAACTGGAACTCGAAGGATTTTAAAATCTTCATATATTTCATATCTTGAACTATTTTGTGTGATGATGATGTTGTCTTTTAACCAAGTGACCTGTGTCGGTGTAGGTGGATTGGCATTGATACTGCAGGTTAAGGTAAACGAGTTGCCTTCATACACACTGCTATTAGATACCGTGATAACTGGCTTGTGTAGATCTAATAACAAATAAATTCATACTTCCATTAGTTGAGCTCTGAGAAAAAGGAGGGTGTTTCGTGCTTCTGGATGAAAGCAATTTACAGATGTTGTGTATTATAGATGTGTATAAGAGACAGATATTATAGTTTTCACGTTATCTTCAGTTGTTCAGTAGTAGTTGCACAGGATCGTCACTGGACAGGCGCGTAACAGGGGTCTTGAGTCAGAGGGTTGGGGCATAACTTTCCCGGTTATTAATTTATCATACCCGCCCTTCCCCCATATAGAAAACAATACGACATAGGGCTTATCTTATTTATAATATAGGCCACACACGTGTGTTTGAAACTAAATATAAGCATTTTCATTATGGCTTTATTTATTACAAACATATTCTTTTACCATCAATACACATCGAGACCCTACTTTTAGGTAAAACGAACTATCATAAATGTTCTTTCTATTTGAGTTGGGACTATTATCTGTTCAATTAACTTAGAAGACAAAGAAGGACAATCACAAGTTTTCACATTCAAAAATGCTCGCGAAGCGCGCAAAAAATTTTTTTTTTTTAGTTTAGGACTTATGTTATATATGGCCACACACGTGTATTTTTTAAACTAAATATAAGCATTTTCATTATGGCTTTATTTATTACAAACATATTCTTTCACCATCATTGCACATTGAGGCCCTTCTTTTAAAGTAAAACGACCTATCTTAATTTTTTTTTCCCTTTAGTTTGGGACTATTATGTGTTTAAATAACTTAAAGGCCAACCCTAAAAAAACCCCCAACAGTATAGGCTCGTAGCGCGCAAATTCAAATTCTAATTTCGTCGGAATTGATCAAAAATCCCTAAAATGTGCAATTTTTAGAGGAAATTGGCCTACTTCAATAAGAAATTTGAGATTTTTAGGCACTTTCAGGGGGAAAAGGGCATCTTCAAGGGCTGGGAAAAAATTTTCCACAGATGGATATTTTCCCTTTGTCCCCAGGTGGTTACGCCACTGCGGAGAATATCTGCTGGCGGCTTAGCTCTAAGGAGCTATGTGGATACTTTTTAAAATGGAGAAGGGGTTGCAGGGTGTTGTGAGTCTGGTTATTATATCTTTCTTTTTATTCTTGTCTTTATTTTTCTCTTCTCTTTTTCTTTTCCTTTTTCCTTTCCTTTTCTTTTCTCCTTCTTTTTTTCTCTCCCTCCATCTCACCTTTTTCTTTTCTCTTATTCCAGCCCGATACGACGGCTTGTTCAGTCCGGTAAAAACGTCAGGTGGGCGGGGGTGGGGGGGAGTCTGCCCCTGCCCCCTCAATTCAATTCACAATCATAAACACACCCAAAACGTTATGTACAGGAATAGGCTCAATGTTAGATTATCAATATGATAGATGAACTTGATAAAAAACTAATTGATACAATTTTTGTAACTTTTAATATCAAGTCAAGATCAAATTTCCACATTGCTTGTTAAGAAAAACAAAACAATTTAACATCATCGGGAAAAAAGTGATGGTTAAGAAATAAAATGCAACGGAAGGTAGAATAAATAAATTAAATAATAACTCAATATCATTAACTGTTGCTAAAAAGATGATAAAACATATCAACTGCTTCATTAACATCTCCATCTAAGCTAAGTCTAAAATATTATTACCAAAGGTTCCAGATTTTAATCAATGCATCAGTAACATGCTCACCCATTGAATTCGCTGGTGCCGTAAAACTATGAGGCGCCATCTGTTCACTTATTATTTAGCAAAAAATGACATGGTTTTTTACGTTATATATCTATATAATATTTTATATAATATATAATATTTTATATAATATATAAGTTTTTATATAATCTATAATATTTTATATAATATATAATACTTTATAATATAAAATTTTTTATATAATATATAAAAAAATTATATATTATATAATATTTTATATAATATATAATTTT